CAACAGGAAAGCATAAACAGTCCAGCTGAGAGAGCCCAATAATGGAAAAAATAGCTAATGCCATGCTCGATGCTGTAACATTAAATAAGGAGAAAGCCCGCCTCAGAGCGGTGGATTTGAGGCGGGCTGAAGAAAATATCTTCAACAGGCACACTCCTAAATCCAGATACCCTTTATAGCTGTGGCCCTCCGCCTTGGTGCCATAATTCACACTGAATACAAGTGTATTTACAACAGGGTGGTAGCTGACCATTGCGGACTTCATGGGATGCACTATGGAAGCTCTAAGGGCTGGCATGCAAGACTCAACAAAGTCAATGACACATTAAGAGGAGCTTCGCCTCAGATCAAGTGTCCATCAGAGAGAGAACCTCACATCCTAACGGTCCAAAACCCAGACGATCCTGCACTTCGCACAGATGGCATCACAATATACCCCTGGAAGAGGAGCAAGTAAGTTAGTAATTACCAAAAGCAGGCACCAAGCCGGGAAGGCTATGTAGCACCATCAAATGTGCGGAATAATCAGAGGGCACTAAATATCACTAAGGATGCCAATATGAGAACAGAAACGCATAAGGCGAACGATATCAAAAGTATCTGATTCACCAATAATTCTATCGAGGGACAAAGGACCACGAGGGACCGTCGGAAAGCTAGACACACGCTCGTCCTGGAAGACAGGACATTCAACAAGGATATGAATACCTGTAAGAGGAACAATGCAGTTTGGACAATAAGGAGCAGGACGGCGCTCTATTAAGTGTCCGTGAGGTAAGTGTGTATGACTGATACGCAACTTTGCCAGAGCCGTTTCCCACCGCCGGTTACGGTGGTAGGAGTAAGGCCACGGGGACACACTACTCTTAAGAGCACGCAGTTTGTTATCAGTAACAGACGACCAACAACCCTGCCAACGGGCAAGGATGGAGGAATGAATAACTGGGTAAAAGTCGAAATAAGGAATACCTTTACGGGAGATGGGACAAGTGCGGATAGCTTCCTTAGCGGCATCGTCCGCACGCTCATTTAAAGAGACACCAATATGACTGGGAACCCAGCAAAACTCTACCATCTTAAATCTACTGGAAATAAGAAACAGCCAATGTTGAATCTCGACAACTACCAGATGGACTGGATTAAAGGACTCCAGAGCCATGAAGGCACTACGAGAGTCAACTACAACCACAAAGGAGGATTGACAGCGAGAAAGCAGTAGACGAAGAGCATAGAGAAAAGCATAAAGTTCTGCCGTGTAGACGCTAGTCTCTGGAGGCAGGCGACACATCTAGGTGTGGTCAGGAAAAACAACAGAGTAGCCAACACCGTCTGCAAACTTAGACCCATCGGTGAAGATGGAAACGGAGCGGGAGGAAGAGGGGCAAACAGCTAGTGTGGGACTACATATGTGCATCCACCCTCGCTGACAACTATATACACCTCGGTGCTGATCAGGTGGGTGGTGCAGCCAAGCACTGTGGAAATAGCAAAATCAAATCAGTACAGACTACTGGAAAGTCAGTACACCTTTGATTCATTGTGGAGTCTAGCGAGACTGATATTGATAGTCCATATTGATGTTAAAAGTTTGATAAAGTTCACACTAACTTAAGATTGCAACCAATTTAACATTGACGCATCTAACTGAAATCTAGTGTACCAATGTTACTAAGTTTCATGTACCTGGTGCTTGAGGAGTTTAACTGAGCAGCATCTAGCTGGAGTTTGGAGTGCCAATGGTTACTAAGTTTCCTGTAACTGCAAAAATTGTACACACTTAATGTTATGTGCAGTTTACAGTAAAACTGATGAGTTTTACATCAGATGTTTCCCCTAACACCCCCCCTAGATCCTTTACTGCATTGACTGCGGCCCCTTGTGGCAAATATAGTGAGTAGGGGGGACACCACGAGCCTTACTGTGACATGTAACAGCAACACGTTCCGGTAACACGTCAGAGTAACACGCATCAGATGCCGTTGTTTTTGCGTCTGAGAAACGTATGCTCCACGTTCTGGTGGAGGAGAGAGTGGTGGTGGTGGTCAGGTGGGCGGCCCGGGACCTGTTTTCAAAGAAACTAAACCAATTTACGAAGCCGCGAGATCTAAGGACACCTCGATAATTTACGCACCAACGAAAACTTGCCAAACAACAATGCTTTAGATACCACGAAAACTAAAAAAACAACGAGAACTTAAGAAACCACGAAAATTAAAGAAAGAACGAAAATTTTCGGAATCCTGAATATATACGAAACTCCGAAATTTTTGGAAACCACGAAAGCTTTCGAAACCCCAAATTTACGATACAACAAAAGGTTAAGAAACCACGATAACTAAAGATATCACACACATGAGTTAATGTTAAGAAGAGCTGTGTAAATTTCACAGAATTTAACTTATCAGCAGGAGGGAAGGTCTATGGTGATGGTCTTTGGGTGGTGTTCAACAAGAGGGAAGGTCTATGGTGATTGAAATTAAAATTGAAATAAAGTTTATTGAGGTATAAATTCACACGTGAAGGCCACCTGTTAACATGAATAGCCAACTGTTAGCCTGGTAGTCCAGTTATTAATCTGATAGACCAGATGTTAGAATGATAGATCAATTGTTAACGTGATAGACCGGCTGTCAGTCAAATATAATGGCTGTTTACCTTATAGACCAATCCTGTGGCAGCTGGGCACAACGTTTGGCCATCTGGATAATATGATAGTCAAGCCATTACGACTATATAGCACTGGGAAGGGGTCAGGATGAAGCTTTGGGATGAGACGGGGGGAAGGAATGGTGGCCTGACCACTCTGACGGTCGGGGATTGAACGCCGACCTGCATGAAGCGAGACCGTCGCTCTACCGTCCAGCCCAAGTGGACTGTAGTGGTGGTGGGGTCACTCTTGTGAGGTCAGTCAGGCCAGTTGTAACCGGCGCGTAGACTAGTGGGCTACGTCACCAACGTCGTCACACCTCACACTAACCAGTTTTTACGTTGTCCGTCTGGAAGAGTGCCGAGTCATACTACGTCATAACAATGGCCTTACCTGTGATTTACCTGCGGCTGATTTAGATAGTTTTCCTTGACGTCTAGGCCTTAATACTGTGATGATGACTTGATCGGTTAGGCTGTTGCTACCCGGCCAGTTCTCTCCATGTCTCCTCCGTACAAAAAAAAAAAAACCTAACTTGAAGCGTCAACATCTCGGCAACCTAACTAACTTACGGCAGCCGATGCTCACTTGTCTTTTAAAGCGTCAGTACTAAGGGACTTTTAATTTCCCTAAACCACCATAATTTTTAGGTCGCGGTCGATTACATAAAAAACTGCAGCGCGTCCATTAATCGAACAGGTTGCCCCCCCCCCCCCCCCCCAGCCATCATAGCCAGGTTAATCCAGTATTTCCAGTAGAACCTGTTTTATAATTCCCTGTTAGATGACGTGAGTGTTTGCTTGTTTATTTATTTATTTATTTATATACAAGAAGGAACATTGGGTTTATGAGAGTACATATTTTTACATTTATGTAACGCCACTAACACGCAAAGCGTTTCGGGCAGCTCTATGTTTCTCACACGTTGTTAGAGAGGTGTATATTCCTGAGCCTCTAGCTTTTACTGTGCTAAGATGCTAAGACTGGATTTTGTTACCTGTCACCGGAGACTGTGTCTTATTATTTTGTTACCGGAGACTACCTGTTTCATATATTCCTCTTTGTCTGTGCCCCATCATCAAGTATCACTCGTCACCAAGAAAGGAAATGAGAATTTTGCTGTTCTCAAAGCTGTCACACTTGAAACAATTGCCTCCTCCATCAAACATTTAAGATTTCGCGAGCACTGTGTCTACACCGGCGGCTCAGTCCAGTCTTCTACTGGACGAACTGCAGCAGCATATAGGTTTTATAGAAATAATATTTGCACTCAGACTGTCATTGTCAGGTTAAACAACTGGCTGACCTCCATACAAACAGAGCAGGCGACACAACAGCTTAAAGACACCAGTATATTAAAAAACATAATATTTTGTATATTTAATTGTAATTGAGGAATAATATTTTGTGATTCAAAGTCTGCTCTTCAAGCAATCGAAAATTTCTCCCGGAAGATCGACAGTAAGAACCTCATATTACCAATTATAAATTACCTAATCGTTGCACAGAGTAAAGGGTTTCGAATCTCCTTTGTCTGGATACCTTCACACATAAATATAACCCATCATAATGAGACAGACATTGCAGCCAAATTAGCGTCTAACAAGGATGAAGTTGAATTAGATCTAGGTATCCCCATCTCTGCTGTCAAAACTGTATTGGTCCAAACACTCAGGTCTGATAGGAGAGAAATTACTCACTCCCAACGACCTGAAAGCACCAGTATAAAAAGCTATGATTTGTTCAGATCTGAAACCTATATATATGGGCAGCACAAAACGTCGACCAGACTGTGCGACACAGTGGTTGCCAGGATCAGATTGGGTTACCGTTACCTGTGGCAGGTGGCTACAGGTGACGGGTCTCCCAATCCTGAGCACTCCAGGTGCAAACTCTGTGAGCAGGTACTGGGTGGTGATCACACTCACTACATCACTGAATGCCCAGTTATCAGACCCGTTGGCATGAGGTACCTGGAGCTTGGCTACTATTTTATTCACTCTCGTGTTCTTGATGATATCCTCATATTGTACCCAAAATTTGCCAGTGCCGGCTACTGAACATATGGCCCTGTATGACTAACCATCCTGCGAGATGGGGACTTTTATTATCACCGCTGCCTTATTCACTCTGGTGTTGATGATGATATAATTATAATGCACCCAGAGTCTGCCAGTGCAGACCTCTTATCACATGCATTTGTATGACTAACCATCCTGTGTGATGGGAACTGTTAGCATCACGTAGCTAGCTTTTTGACACACTGTACTCCCCTTCATATAGTCTAGGGCAGCTGCGCAAATAAAGATATACCTAAATGTGTTAATAACAAATAAAAAGGGGTGGAGAGTGGTCAGTGTGTCGGGGTGGAGGGAGGCCTCTGAGAGAGCAAGGGACTGTTCTCCAGCTGTGAGGCCAGAGCCTCGTATCTCTCGGAGGCCTCGTGCCTCCAGGCCGCCAGCTGGGCCCGCAAGCGGCGGTGAGCGGCCTCCGCTGCCGTCGTCCGCCCGGTGAGATCCGCTCGATCCTCCGCTGTGAGGCGTTTCCGACGACTTGCTTCCTCCCGGCATTCCAGCACCAGCGCGCGGGCCTGCACAGGCACAAACATGGCTAGTGTCACACACCTCATCTTTACTATGATGACCAAACCACACATCATAAAACTACCGTGAACTAGGCTTACACCTCCGATTGCGAAGACCTGAGAGTGAAATACAATTACCTGGTCAAGTCTGTCCTGTAGGAGGTTGGCTCTCAAGGCAAGGCGCTCCCGGAGGTCCTGCAGGCATCTCTCTCTCACCATCTCTGCTCTCTCAGCTGCTCCCTCTCCCTGGAAGAGCGGAGACTAAGTCATAAACATTCCGCCAAGGCTGTGATTCTCCCTTTTCCCAAGAAAGGCAGACGGTATACTTTGTATTACCAAAGCAAAAAGTCCCTCTTTATAGTAACGAACCAGTGAGTTTTCCCTGTCAGTATCAATGAAATAATTCATCCTTTCCAGATGCTGATTTAAAATTGTTCAAAAACTGTCTGTAGAGCGCTATTTTGAATTGAGACTGATAGTGTTTCTATTCCCGATGTCATGTACTCTGAATTGTTAACAGTGCCTCTTGAGTTAAATGACCTGTCCTGAAATAGCTATATGTAATGAATTTAAGAAAAGTCTAATATGGCCCCATTGTTTCCGTGTTAATGACTGTGAAAAAACTCAATTTACGTATCTAAATGTAAAACAATAACTCATTGCAGCTCAGCAATTTCAGCTGATTCTACAAATCACCTTGACCCGTCAGATGAGCTAGGTATCACCAGGAGGCAGCCAAGTACTTGGAGACCAGACAGGTCATAGCAACGTCGTCTTAAACCGGTTCATATAACCCAAATCACCGCGAATAAAAACGCCAGAACACACTGGTCTTGGTCTCTGTGGACAGGTGCACGCTGCTAAACAACAGAACAACTGTACACTCACCTGTAGGATGGGGTAGATGGTGCCCACTCACCTGTAGGAGGGGTAGATAATGCTCACTCACCTGTAGGAGGGGTAGATAATGCCCACTCACCTGTAGGAGGGGTAGATAATGCTCACTCACCTGTAGGAGGGGTAGATAATGTCCACTGACCTGTAGGATGGGGTAGATGGTGCCCACTCACCTGTAGGATGGGGTAGATGGTGCCCACTCACCTGTAGGATGGGGTAGATGGTGCCCACTCACCTGTAGGATGGGGTAGATGGTGCCCACTCACCTGTAGGAGGGGTAGATAATGTCCACTGACCTGTAAGAGGGGCAGATAATGCCCACTGATCTGTAGGAGGGGCAGATAATGCCCACTCACCTGTAGGAGGGGTAGATAATGCTCACTCACCTGTAGGAGGGGTAGATAATGCCCACTCACCTGTAGGAGGGGTAGATAATGCTCACTCACCTGTAGGACGGGGTAGATAATGCCCACTCACCTGTAGGAGGGGTAGATAATGCCCACTGACCTGTAGGAGGGGTAGATAATGCCCACTGACCTGTAGGAGGGGTAGATAATGCCCACTGACCTGTAGGACGGGTAGATAATGCCCACTGACCTGTAGGAGGGGTAGATAATGCCCGCTGATCTGAAGGAGGGGTACATAATGACCACTGATCTGTAGGACGGGGTAGATAATGCCCACTGACCTGTAGAAGTAGATAATGCCCACTGATCTGTAGGAGGGGTAGATAATGCCCACTGATCTGTAGGACGGGGTAGATAATGCCCACTGATCTGTAGGACGGGGTAGATAATACCCACTGACCTGTAGGAGGGGTAGATAATGCCCACTGACCTGTAGGACGGGTAGATAATGCCCACTGACCTGTAGGAGGGGTAGATAATGCCCACTGACCTGTAGGACGGGTAGATAATGCCCACTGACCTGTAGGAGGGGTAGATAATGCCCACTGACCTGTAGGAGAGGTAGATAATGCCCACTGACCTGTAGGACGGGTAGATAATGCCCACTGACCTGTAGGAGGGGTAGATAATGCCCACTGACCTGTAGGAGGGGGTAGATAATGCCCACTGACCTGTAGGAGGAGTAGATAATGCTCGCTGACCTGTAGGAGGGGTAGATAAGGAGCGATGGTGTCGACGCGACCTTCCTGCTCCTCCCGTCGCTTAGCCAGCATCTCTTCTCTGTGAGCCTCTTCGTACTGCCTCTGTAACACACCTTTACAGGTAAGTAAACACTAATCGTAACACTAATCTCACAGGTAAGATGAATAGGTACTTTCTAGTAACATTTTGAGTTAAATATAATAACTGCAACATAAATTAACTGAGATGATTACACTGGTGAAGATACAATGCCTTATATACTAATATTGGGCCACCAACCTGTCTTCTTACAAATCACGTCTGAAATAGCCGTTTGCACGTACGGCCGAAAACTGACGTAATTCGAAAATAAAAAAAAATGTAAATAAGTTTGGGAATTTTTTTTATCAAAGCAGTAAGTTAAGGGTCCTCTGGTAGGTTAGGAGGGGGAGGAAATTCTCCTAAAGTTTCAAAATGTCATTAAAATCGTTAATTGAAAGTTTTCTCTCCTAACCTAACAGACTAAGCTGGATGACCCAAATAGAAAACGGGACAGTACATTACTTTCGTGAGCCGATTTAATTTCAAATTACGTCAGTTTTTGGCGATAGCGCGCATACGAGCGAAATGCGACGTTATTTTGAGAGGACGGGTAGCACAAGATACAGTGTGAGTTTGAAGCACTAGGTAGGGAACTATGGGATGAAATAAGGTACTTTTTGGTTTTACTTATGTATAGGGGGGATGGGTTGGACAATGTGTTATTTCATTATGGAGTGAGTTGCATAGACTTGGTGCTTTTATTTTCACCTGAACAAGGAGTCTTTACAGGTGTGTATACTGGAAGAGTTAATCCAATTCAGACATATCATTGATCCTGCCAACACTAGTTGAGTAAGGACGCACACACATACGCACCCATGCATGCACGCACACACACATTCACATACACAAAGGCCCCCATTCACATGGGGGCCTGGTAGCCTGGTGGATAGCGCGCAGTACTAGTAATTATGTGGCGCGGGTTCGATTCCCGCACCAGGCAGAAACAAATGGGCAAAGTTTCTTTCACCCTGAATGCCCCTGTTACCTAGCAGTAAATAGGTACGTGGGAGTTAGTCAGCTGTCACGGGCTGCTTCCTGGGGTGTGTGTGGTGTGGTGTAGAGATAGAGAAAAAAGTAGTTAGTAAACAGTTGATTGACAGTTGAAAGGCGGGCCGAAAGTGCAAAGCTCAATCCCCGCAAACACAACTAGGTGAATACACACACAAGGGGAGCCGATGGCTGAGCGGACAGCATGCTGCACACGTGATCCTGTGGTCCCGGGTTCGATGCCGGCGTCGGCGAGAAACGATGGGCAGAGTTTCTTTCACCCTATGCCCCTGTTACCTAGCAGTAAATAGGTACCTGGGAATTAGTCAGCTGTCACGGGCTACTTCCTTCCTGCACGTTCCTGCTTCCTGGGGTGTGTGTGTAGTGTGTGAAAAGAAACAGTTGAGAGGCGGGCCGAAAGAGTAGAGCTCAACCCCCGCAAGCACAACTAGGTGAATACACACACATTCACTCACTCTTGGGGTCTCGCGACTGAGTGGACAGCGTTCTGGGGTCGTAGTCCTAAGTGGCCCGGGTTAGATTCCCAGCCGAGGCAGACACAAATAGTCAGTTTCTTTCACCCTGATGATCCTGTTCATCTAGCAGTAAATGGGTACACGTGATCTAGACAACTGCTACGGGTTGCTTCCTGGGGATGTGTGTGTGTATGTAAATATATGTAGTAGATATAGGAGGAAAAATACAGTAGATTAGTTAGAAAGGCGGGGTCGACATTAAATTAAAGTTTTTTATTCAGGAAAAGTACATACATAGTTGATTTACAAACATAATTTTGGATTTATAGATAGAGCTAGTACATACAATACCTAAAGTCACTAATATGCATAGCGTTTAGGGTTTTCGGCGCTTCAATAACTCGACTCTGCAGGTACAAATAGTCAATACTCACCTGTTTCAGTATGTACTGAACCGTTTCATTCCTGCGGATGTCGAAGATGTGCGGCAGAAGGAGGGTGAGATGTTCCTCGGCCTCCCTGGTCTGTCTGAGAGCTGCCGTCTCCTCCACGGCTCTCCTGGCCGCCTCCTGCGCCGCCACCTCCGCCTCCATCTCCGCCTCCAGCACCCCCCACAGCTCCGGCATGGCGGGCTCCTCCACACTGGGGTCCGGCTGCACCAACACGAAGATAATACGTTGGAAGAGAGTTCTTCTATCTTCAGTAAGTAGACATGTTTTGTTATTGCCAGGGACAGAAAGCCTGTTAGATTTATAGACGTCCACCATGGGCAGCGACGCCCTCCTCACGATGCTGCCCACAACAGTTAAGTAGCTCCCAAGTACTTATTTACGTCTGTGTAAATGGAAACCTCGTGTAGCCATTCCCCCGAGATGCAAGCCACAACAGTTGATTAACTAAGCAAGGAAACGTAACAAACATGTCGATCTAGCCGGGAATCGAACCCAGCACCAATGGGTTTGAGTCGACTGGGCTAACTACCACACCACGGGGCAACTAAACAGTACTAACCCCAGCTACAGAACATCCATTAAACAGTGCTCTCATTCAGTTTATCCAGATAAATCCGAGTTACCCGGAATTTGTTGTGCATTTTGGTTTGTGAATTTGTGTTTCTGAAACACAGCGAGGTTGGTAAGCTGTCAAGCATCAGCAACATCACTGAATGGATTTGAAGGCTAAACCAAACTAGGGATTCTCATGTCACTAGAGTCACAGTGCGCATCGTTAGCTTCCTGCCTCACGGTTCATGGTGGTAGTTAAATACACCATAATATGGTTTGGTGTTGGGCTCAAATCCCATCCACCTCTGGAGGGTTATTATGGGCCAAACATCTAGGACATTTGTTGACCAAACCACACTTCTGAAAGTGATGGGTGTGGACACAATCGACTTGAGAATGGTCCATGACGGACCAAAACGTCGTCGTCCCTTCACTTTCTAGTGTGTGGTTTGGTCAACATATTTCAGCCACGTTATTGTGACTCCTCGTCTGCATCTAGTACACATTAGCCCTGAACATAGTCCAGGACTAAAGGAAAGATTCAGTGCATATACACTGAGAACTGGTATACACCTCTCAGGGTATACGTTACTAAAGACAATGTAGGACAGTGGAGGAGCGGACCTGGAAGCCTTGGGTCATGTCTGGGGTGAGGTCTGCCGGGCGGCCGCTAGGGGGCTTGACGAAGGACCTAGTAGGCTGCAGAAGGCGATGACGGCCGTAGTGGTACACCAGCAGGATTCTTCCCTCACTCACTTCAAACACTCTGCGCTGGACCGCCCTGTGAGGCTCTACGTCATCCGGACACCCGAACTCCTCTTCGATTCTCTGTTGAGAAAGCACTTGATTATCTATTTAAAAAGTAATTGAGCGGTAAGCGTTCGACCCTCTGTTGAAAAAAACATTCAGTCCTTTATTAAAGAGGTTCTATCTTCTGATGAGAAGGAATCGATCTTCTTTTGAGATAGCATTCGATCCTCTATTCAAAGAGTCTAAGATCCTTTATTACATAAACACTCGGTCTTGTATTGTAAACAAAATAATTATCTGCAAATCATTTCTAAAATATCCCATTCATTTTTGTCTCAAAAAATATAATTAATTATACTTAAAAATTAGATGTAAACTTACAATTGCAAGATTGCAGAAGTACGGACGTACGACTAACGTACACTGCAGCAGGCCTTATCACCTATATAAGGCAGCTCTTATACCTATCCAAACTCACTCATAAATACGTCTATCTCTAAATAGACAGTATAACCATTCCAATTCCCAAGTCTAATCAAGGGAATACTTTCCGCCCAATTTCCCTTACTAGCTGCATTTGCAAAACATTCGAGAGAATGGTCCTAAACCGTCTCCTCCATAGACTAAGAACCATGTTATCCCCCCAGATATATGGCTTCATGCATGGAAGGAGTGTGCATCACTCCATCACCACCTTTCTTACCCTGCACACTGACAAGTCATATACCACCTTCCTAGAGCACAAGTCTGCCTTTAATATTGCGACATGTTATCTCGAGTGAGCTTGTGAGAATGAATATTGGTGGTCGGCTTTTTTGTTGGATCAGAGCTTACTTATCCAACAGGAAGTCATCTGTATTATTCCAGGGGCATAGGAGTGTAACAAGAGACTTCGAACTAGGCACCCCACAGGGAGGTATCCTCAGCCCTACCTCATTTAATATCTTAATAAACACGCTGTTAAACTCTGTACCGAGCAAACCCAACGTGCACATCATTAGTTACGCTGATGACACACAGAACACTTTTAACTCTGTATTAGACTCATGTCAGGACCTAGGTTTAGTCATCTCAGCAGAAAAAACAAAGATACTAAATCGGCGCCCACCCAGGCAGAGAGGAGCTGTTCGCAAGATGCAACTGTCTGATGGCTCCCAGCTTGACTATGTAAACAGATTCAAATACCTTGGCCTTGAGGTGCCACTGTATGGTCCTGTTGTATTCAGACTCTCTCGTCAGTATAAAGAGAGGCTCCGAGCTCTCAAGGCTGTTGCAGGTTATCACTCAGGCTATGGTGCCAATGTCAGAATTGTCAAAATAATGTATCTTGCATTCGTCAGATCTTTAGTGGATTATGCTGCACCTCTGCTTGCCTATATGCCTGAAAGAAAGCTTGGAGGGCTTGAAAAATTACAGAACGAAGCCTTGAGGATAATCCTTGGGTGCCCTCGTACCACAAAGATACTTAACATGAGAAAGGAACTTAATATTCCGAGCGTTGTTGATCGTGTTACTGAAATTAACTGTCAAACTGGTATAAATATACTTAGGCTAACTCATCCTAACCTTTACACAGAAGCACTCCAGAATTTCTTTATTGAAGGTCAACATTGTTCCAAATGGATAACTAAAACTGGAACTGAACTCAGAATGTTTCAGATTTATAACTTAGCACTTTCCTACACCGTGGGAGACCTGCGACCAGAGCCATATGAATGGGTTGAAAATGGGGCCTGTGTTAATTAAGACCTTACATTAAAGGGCTGAAATAGGAGCTGTATTACTAAAGGTTTGACCTGGATGGGTTGAAATGGGTTGTGTGGTATTGAAGGTTTGACCTGGATGGGTGAGGACGGTGTAGGGTCAGCGGTAGTGAAGGTGACGGTCCTGGCCAGCAGGAGGTCAGGTCGCTGGTCAAACTCCTCCCGCCACACCGTGGCGCCAATCACCCGGCTCCTGCGCCATAATAACATGTTACATACACCAACACGAAACACTGGATAACAAATAACACAATGACATCACAATAACGTGATACATATGTGAGAACATTTTTTGGAAGTCGACGGCAGGATCGAAGACGGATCGAACCTGTGTCCTGGGTACTCAGAACGATGTTTCGATCCCGCCGTCCTGCTCCATAGATTTTCTCAAACTGGGTAAATTTATTAGTCAGAAAAATCGTGAGTAAATGTTAATGAAATCATTTTGTAGCTGAATGCTCCATGGTAGGCCAGGTGGAGGCGCTCTGTGGATATACAGCTGCATGACATCTTCCTCTACTCTGAAGTTAATTTTTTCTTTGAATCTTCCTAGAGTTTGGTTGGATCATCCCTGTAAGAGGGATAATCCCTGTTAGAGGGACCATTCCTGTTAGAAGGATCATCTCTGTTAAAGGGATAATCCATGTTAGAGTGATCATCCCTCGCGTTATCAAACCTTCAGCTTCACTATCTTTCAACCTGTACCCTCGTGGTAATCACTTCAAACCCACTACATAATTAGAGCTATTATTAACTCTATCGTTGGTTAGGTATTTTAGGTTAGGATAAATTTGATTAGGTTAGGGTAGATTTGTTTAGGTTTAGTTAGGTTCATTACCAGTTTACAAGTAGACTATTATGGGGGCCTAATATGCTTTCAGACCATCAAAAATATCTAGATAACTATTGAGGTGCTTTAAGAGGGAAGTTGATTTCTCAGCATAATTAATTAGACCTGAGAACGGGCTGCTTAGTTGATCCCGACTGTGACATAATAAAATGACTGTGACGTAACAAGATGACAGATGTAACAAAATGCCTGTCATGTTACGAGATGACTGACGTACAACGATGACCGACGTAACGAGAGATAACTGTGACGTCCGAAGATAACAGATGCAACAAGAGAGAACTAAAATATAAAAGAATGACTGTCGATGGAAATTAAGCAGGAAAATGATGAAAATATAGACAATATTTGATGGTGACAAACCATCAAAAGTGATAATATTTTATGCTAATCACACAATACTACACAGAGCCGACACGTCCTGTCTAGTACATGGAACCTTTGTTCCTAGCAGGGTGTAGAGTGTAGGTGCCAAGGGTGCCTCAATTGGTAAGGTGTAGGGAGAATGCCTCAACTGGGAAGACGTAGGAAGAGTGCCTTACCAGGAAAAAGAGAAAACAGAGTGCCTGAACTCACCTGAGAGCGTCTACTCTGAACTTGGAGTGGAACTGGAAGACCTCATCCCTGGAGGAGTGAGCAGAGCCGTCCCCTACAGGCGCCAGGGCCGGGTTGTCCATACCGTCAGGGCGCACCCTGGCGGCCAGGGACCCGGGACACCTCCAGTACTCATGACCTGTCCTCAAAGTAATAATATTTATAATAATAATAATAATAATAATAATAATAATAATAATAAGACACAAAGGTCTGGTGTGCAAGCAAAAGCAATTTCGGGTTGACGGCGATTTCCTGCTTCTTGAAAATGAAACGAGCAACCTCTTCACTCCCGAGTTGTGGCGACATATTTCAAGCCGGCTTTCAGACGGTGTGGCACCGGGTAGTGTGGCCTCGGGTAGTGTGGCCTCGGGTAGTGTGGCCCGGGGTAGTGTGGCCTCGGGTAGTGTGGCCCGGGGTAGTGTGGCCTCGGGTAGTGTGGCCTCGGGTAGTGTGGCCCGGGGTAGTGTGGCCTCGGGTAGTGTGGCCTCGGGTAGTGTGGCCTCGGGTAGTGTGGCCCGGGGTAGTGTGGCCTCGGGTAGTGTGGCCTCGGGTAGTGTGGCCCGGGGTAGTGTGGCCTCGGGTAGTGTGGCCTCGGGTAGTGTGGCCTCGGGTAGTGTGGCCTCGGGTAGTGTGGCCCGGGGTAGTGTGGCCCCGGGTAGTGTGGCCTCGGGTAGTGTGGCCCGAGGTAGTGTGGTCCCGGGGTAGTGTGGTGTCGTTCATTTAACCAGAGGATTTGGGGTAGGTTAGCGAGAGATGACGTTCACTAAACGGAGGTTTCTGGCTTACGTTTGAGCGTGTCCTTCCTGGTGGAGGCGAAGGTCTCGGTGACCGACCCGTGGAGGAGGTGGGTCTCCCTCGTCAGTAGACAGTCCGCCCGCTGCTCGAACTGCTCCCGGACCTCCTCCGTCGAACCTGTTACGTGTTACATTCTTTGTTTATTTGGTGCATTGAAAGTTCCATTCCCCATATCCTGTGGGTAGTGCTGGAAAGAATATTAAGGGGCCCCCAATACCCATATCCTGTGGTCGGAAAAGTTACTGAGAAATACGATGGGTTCAGGAAATGGCCCCCCAATTTTCAACATCGTAATTTTCATTATTGGTCAGCCAGTTATACAAAGAGTTGTCATTTGTGTCATATTTGTGTTCAAGTTACACGGACAGTCAGTAGTCTGAGTACAGTACTGTAGCTGATATTACAGTGGTCATGAGGTAGGCAGGTAAGAGGAGCAGGCCCGGCCAGCGTACAGTGTGTGTACTATCTACATTAGTCGCCTATTGTAGATAGTACACTATTTTCTGCAAGATGTACCAGATGAAAGGAAACTTTCACAAATATCGGTCTTGCCATAGTCCTGTAACGACAGGTGTGGTGAGAGAGAGATGTGGTGAGAGAGAGGTGTGGTGAGAGACAGGTGTGGTGAGAGGTGTGTGGTGAGAGAGAGGTGTGTGGTGAGAGAGAGGTGTGGTGAGAGAGAGGTGTGTGGTGAGAGACAGGTGTGTGGTGAGAGACAGGTGTGGTGTGAGACAGGCTGGAGACTCACCAGTATTGGAGAAGAGCGTGAGTATGAGTGTGGCTCCCCGCTGGTGAGAGAAGTGTGAGTAGCGACGAGCCACTACTCTCTTGTATACCTCTTCTCTCCACCCTCCTGGAAATCTCTTCTCCAGCGCTGAAATGTGTGATAATACAACACCTTAATGCAACAAATACATCAATCTTAACATTGATAAGACTGCGTTTTAAATATGGCCTCTAAATCAAACAATATTTATATAATAACAATAACAATTTTTATTTGCAAGAAGGTACTGTAGCGAGTATATTATTAGCATAATATACTCGCTACAGTGAGAATATTATGCTAATAATATACTCGCTCCACTCATCATGAAAATAGAGATCAGGTGTATAAACTCACCTTCCTCCGTGACTGAGACAGGTTTGGCGCGAGTCTTCGGCACTTTGAGGGACGGCTTAGTGACTCTTGTTGGAACTGGCGTCGCTGGAGATGCGCCGCCTAGCGCTGGGTGCCCCGACCCCTCGCTGCCTGCTGCTGCTGGGGCCGGATGGTGGTGGTGGCCAGCTGGTGTGGATGGCTGGTGGGTATCTGGTGTGGGTGGTTGGTGGCCAGCTAGCGTGGCTGGATTGTGGGTAGTTGGTGTGGATGGTGGTTGAATATCTGGTGTGGATGGCTGGTGGGCAGCTGTTGGATGGTGTGAGTCAGGATCAAGGCGAGGCGAGCCTTGAGATGGGTGGGGTTGATCAGCCTCAATCAGAGGCATCCACACACTCCGATCTGAGAGGTCAAACTATATAACCATTACCCACAATATACACACACAGATAACGCGAATATATATCAATGAGAAAGTCAACAGGAGCCGTGATGAAGATTCGAACCTATACGTCGGGTACCGCCAGACACACGCTCTAGACGACTAGACCACGACATAGGCCAAAATGTAATGGACAATATCGAGGCCCAGAAGTCTAGGGCGTGTGTCTGGGAATATTCAGCGCACACGTTCGAATCTCCATCACGGCTCTTGTGGATTTTCTCGCCTATAATATTTATCTTATCCTTGCAATGTCCAAAATCCTAACTCACAATGTTTGTAATCCTAAGTCATAGTATATCACCTAAATAATGATGTAAATGCGTTTTCACTTATATCACATGTTAAAATATATCAACTCAGCTGCTAGACGCAGTTATATTTGGATATTATAATTTACATTTTGAAGCTTCAATATAAATCAACTAATCTATTTGATAAAACACTTGACATTACCAACGCCCATCACAATGTTTTCCCCTTTACTACACCCGTCAGGGGTTAAGGGGAAAATATACATATGTTACGGTAAAAGGGAAATCCACCCTTGTCGTTAAAGGGAATAATCAACACCTGATACTCACTGAGTCTGAGAACAGGAGGCGAGGTAACCAGAGTCATACGTGAACCTACCATGTCAGGGGAGATGGGTTGATCGTACTTGGTGCAGGCCCAGTAGTTGGTGTTGTCGAAGACAGCGTGGATGCCGCTGTAGGGAAGAGCCTGAGAGGAGCCTAGGAGAAGCATGCGGCCTGTAGCGGGTTCCACGAAGGTGGGGGTGGCCACCTGTCGCCCAGGAGGCAGCACCACCACCCAGAAATGCAGGTGAGGTGTCTCAGGGCCTTCCCTTTCCCCTCTACCAGTCCACCATTGCTGGGAATCGAAACAGTTCAATAAGAAATCATCTTGACATATCTGACCCAATAAATGACTCAACACAGTTTCTCAAGAGGGGGATCTTGCCCCACAAATATGCAATCGGTCTACACAAGCATTTCGAGGCAGTCTTATATCATGCTCTTAGGATTTGATTCTACACAACATTAATGGTTGTGAGAATCAAAACTTTTTACATGTTAATATAACTAGTAATTAATTGATTATGAGTTCTCCCCCGATTCGTGGGTTTCTGGACAAGGGATCCATCGCCTGGCCGTGTGTTTCCTAACACAGTTATGGGTTTCTTTACCTAGTTGTGGGCATCCTGGTACATCCTGCAACTGGTACTCTGAGAGAGAACTATCAACATCAGAGGCCCGAGACTGTTCAACACGCTTCCACTACACATAAGGGGCATAACTGGCCGACCCCTCACAGTGTTCAAGAGAGAACTGGATAAGCACCTCCAAAGGATACCTGATCAACCAGGCTGTGACTCGTACGTCAGGCTGCGAGCAGCCGCGTCCAACAGCCTGGTTGATCAGTCCGGCAACCAGGAGGCCTGGTCGACGACCGGGCCGCGGGGACGCTAAGCCCCGGAAGCACCTCAAGGTAAGGTAACCTCAAGGTATCCTCACCTGAGCATGGGCATCAGGGGCGTGGTGGTGCTTGTGGAGGTGTTGGAGGTGGGCGGCACGTCGACGCTTCGCCCGTTCCTCCATGATGAGAAGGTAGCGACTCTTCAGGTCTGGTGGTGGTCTCACGCTGTACTTGGAGGGGCCGGCCTCCACCTGGTCCTCGCCCTCCTGCAGGACACCCCGCAAGCACGAACACACATTAAATACAATATACATAAAATTCCCTCCTTGCCGATTTATATTATTTTTTCACGTGGCTATTTCCAATCAATCTCATAACTGACTGAGAGAGAGAGAGAGACTCTTACGGTATGGTGGTGGATGAGATAGGGGCAGGGAAGATGGGAGGTGTCCCTGGCCACCAGGGCGGGCCTGGCAGCGCCCTGCACCACCAGGGCGTGGTACCCCGCCCCCAGGAGCACGGAGACCAGCACCAGGGCACACTCTACCCCAATACCCTCCTGGCTCCTCACCACCACTGCCGGGGACCTCACCCTGCTGGGCTGATACACTTAACACTGAATACACTTGAAATCTTACAATATAAGACACCTTGATATTGAAACCTGGAAATTCCAGTAATTATCTAAGATTGTTTTACACTGATTGTATAATAAGCTTAGCAAATATTGTTCAGATACTGATTCTACGCGAGGGGTGTAGGTGGGTACGTGAGGGGGAGTGGGTGAAGGTGGGTACGTGAAGGGAGTGGGTGTAGGTGGGTACGTGAGGGGGGTGGGTGTAGGTGGGTACGTGTGGGGGGGTGGGTACGTGTGGGGGGGTGAAGGTGGGTACGTGAGAGGGGTGGGTGTAGGTGGGTACGTGAGGGGGGGTGGGTGTAGGTGGGTATGTGAGGAGGTGGGTGTAGGTAGGTACGTGAGGGGGGGTGGGTGTAGGTAGGTACGTGAGGGGGGGGTGGGTGTAGGTGGGTACGTGAGGAGGTGGGTGGGTACGTGAGGGGGGGTGTAGGTGGGTACGTGAGAGGGGTGGGTGTAGGTGGGTACGTGAGGGGTGGGTGGGTGTAGGTGGGTACGTGAGAGGGGTGGGTGCAGGTGGGTACGTGAGGGGGGGGGTGGGTGTAGGTGGGTACGTGAGAGGGGTGGGTGTAGGCACGTGAGGGGGGGGGTGTAGGTGGGTACGTGAGAGGGGTGGGTGTAGGCACGTGAGGGGGGGGGGTGGGTGTAGGTGGGTACGTGAGGGGGGGGTGTAGGTGGGTACGTGAGGAGGTGGGTGTGGGTGGGTACGTGAGGGGGGATTGGTGTAGGTGGGTACGTACCAGAGTGGGCGGTGGGCGGGGCGGCGTGTAGGAGATGAGATCAGCCAAGACTGCAGCAGCATCCTCCAGGGCCAACAACTGCGGGTGTGGCGCGGGTGACGGCACCACCAGGCTCACCACACCCACCTGCAACACACAGTTCAAGTTCACAGGACTGGAGTCACACTCGAGCCCTCGCGGAAGAAGCGATCAACTGGTAATAATTAAATGCTCCAATGTGTTTCTGTGAATAATACAATTTCTCCCACACTACCCATCAACATTGGTGTTCCCCAGGGCAGCATACTTGGCCCTCTCCTCTTTCTCATCTACATTAATGACCTTCCAAATGCCTCCCAACACCTCAAACCAATTCTATTTGCTGACGACACAACCTTCATTTACTCCAGTCCTGATCCCCTTGCTCTAAATGCCACAGTAAATACTGAGCTTAATAAAGTCCATCTGTGGCTAACTGCCAACAAACTCACCCTTAACATTGACAAAACGTTCTATATTCTGTTTGGCAATAAATCCTCTAATCAAATAAATCTCAAAATAAACAATACCCAAATTTGTAACAAATTAGATGGCAAATTCCTTGGCATTCTCATTGACCACAAGCTGAATTTCCAGGGACACATTCTAAACATATCAAAAAAAGTTTCAAAAACTGTGGGCATTCTTTCTAAGATCAGATATTATGTACCACGCCCTGCCCTGGTGACTCTCTATTACTCCCTTATCTATCCATATCTCAACTATGGTATTTGTGCTTGGGGCTCTACTACCCAAAATCACTTACGTCCTCTAATTACTCAACACAAAGCTGCTATTAGGACAATATCCAATTCTGGCCCCAGACATCACTCGGTACCCCTACTCAAATCTCTGAATATGTTAGACATTAAGTCACTGCACATTCTCTCATGTGTATTATACATATATAAAACGCTAAACTATAATGCCAATCCTGATCTCAAAAGCTTCATAGAAGGTTGTAACAGAACCCATGAGCACCACACCAGAAATAAATACAGTTTTGATATTCCTAGAGTACGACTTAATCAAACCAGAAATGCTCTACAAATCAAGGGGCCCAGAATGTGGAATGACCTTCCCAACCATGTTAAAGACAGTACCTCTCTCAACCAGTTTAAGTTAAAAACGAAGCTATACCTAATAAATTCCCTGTAACCCACCTTACCCCTCTGTTGTCAACCCATGTATGTTTTTTGTTTTTTTTGTTTTTCAAATCAACGCTGTTTGAATGTAATTTTCTGTAATAATTTGTAATTGTAATTGTGCTGCTTTTTCAACAATGTTCCCCCCTCTTTTACCTCTATTTTTATATGTACTCAACACATCTTATTCTTTTTACCCATTAGTTTTAAGCTTTAGTCAGTAGTGTTTTTTCCTGCCCGAAACGCTTTGCGTAATAGTGGCTTTAGGCATTGTATGTACTAGCTCTTTCTATAAAGCCAACAAACTTTGTAAAATCTCTTTATGTATGTACCTTACCTAAATAAAAATTATTATTATTATTATATTATTATAAATCTTAGATATTAATCTGAAGACTCTCAAGACAACCTCACGTCAGTTTACAGTTTATTACTATGTTTTTAAAGACTCTGAGCTACTAGAGACAGCTTAAATATTTCCGACAGCTCGGAAAACATCATCAGGGCAAATGAGGGGGACCTTTGACAAGCCGACGGCTTCCTGTCCTCATCGAGGCCACTAGAGTGTCAGTGGCCCTCAGGTAAATTCAGGTAAATATTCATGATAGATTAAATATTGATTCTGGGACACCAGTGCTGAGGGTCATTACATAATTACCCAAAACTGCTGTAGTAGCTGTGTAGGTCGTTGTTTTGCTCCAGCGCCCGGTCAGGCCCTAGAGCTAAAGCCACTATAGGGGCTCACACGCAACACAAAATGATTGATTGACTGACTGATTTATTAAATAAGCTCAGTAGAAGAGCTTTCAGTAGTAACAGGTGGACCCATTGTTCAATAAACACCATTAATACATTTGATATCACAAGTACAATCACTGAGAAATGTGTCAAGGAAATACATGCAGACTTTGTTATGCAAGCCCCTTGGGAATCGCTGCCAGCAAACTTGAGATTATGGCTCTTCAAGGAGAAGGAATCAGACTAAGCGCTCACATCTGCTATGCATCATTGTATAAATAAATATAGAAGCAAACTTGGTATCTGACGGCTTCACCTAGCAAACAGATGTTACCTTTTCAAAATGTTTTCAAACATTCATTTACTAAACACTGACAACACGTTTACCATCCATCATATTCGAGAAATGCCACAGAAACGTTACAACAAGAACATTTATGCGACGACATCCATCTGACCACACATGTTTGGCATTAATGCAAACACTCAAACGCCAAGGTCGCCGAACATTGATGCCAAGTCATATAGAAATACAGGTGGCCTGGCGTTAATACTTCTCAGCCTACTATTATTTGCCTAATATATATATATATATATAGCTTTTTTTGGCTACCTATATATATAAATATATATATATATATATATATATATATATATATATATATATATATATAGTATATATATATATATATATAATATCTGGTAAGATGGCAATTAAGTCAAAATTTGCCTTAATTTACATCTCGAAGTGAATTAATTAACATGATTGCAAATATTATCATCTCTCGTCCATTATGGCATATAATATAAGTCAATATCGCGATAGGTTCCCACCGTGACACCATCCTCATTCTCTGGCATCAGGAGCAGCACTGGCCCCCGGGGGTACAGAGAATTATACCGCCTCCTGTAACTCGCTATGTGGTTTAACAGTTCGTCTTCAGCTGCTTTGATAGATTGACTGGCATCTGTTCCACTTCCCCACATTGATACATGTACTGCAAGGCACTATAAAGTACTATACAGTATGTATGCGGCAGCTCTAAGGCGTGCTGTGTATATCCGGAGGCAGTTACTATAGCAACCAGGACGCTACGCTTGGAGGATAACACACATAAAGCTTTATTACTTTCGTTCTATATATGCAATATTTTAAAACTTATTTTCTTTCTTATTCATTTTTAATGTATAGATATTAATGCGCTGTACATGATTATACAAAAATAGTAATGCATGTTGTATTAATACAGCCAATGCATGTCTGTATAAACAAAAAACATTATATATGTATAGTAGTTATAATTAGTTCTGGTTTCCTATATATATAGTCGGGCATATATAGGATCAAACGTTTTCGGTGAGGAAAAGCAACTATATATTTATTTATTTATATACAAGAAGGTACATTTGGTTTATGAGAGTATATAGCATTGATGTTTTTAGATTTTTTTTTAAATAACTACAATTTTTAGAGTTCAGTCAGGAGGAATGGCTGAGTTGCCTCCCATTTCATGTTCTCTCCTGATTCCATTTATAACTTTTTTATTATTATTATTAACAAGCTTAGGTATACACATCAATGTGCTGCTACCCTATTCTGTATGAAAGATTACACAGTGTAGATAAAAAAAACTAGCTATAAGTTCATCTAATATTCCCATCTCACAGGATGGTTAGTCATTATAACTAACCATCCTGTGAGGTGGGGATATTAATTCATTCAAGTTTATTGTATATATAAACCAGCTATAAGTTCATCAGATAAATTTATAGCTAGTTTTTTGTTTACACTTTCTAATCCTTCATATAGAATAGGGTGGCAACAAATTGCTGTATTATGTTGAGTTAGGGGCGACGACATTACTGTATATTCCTAAGCGTGTTAATAAATAAAAATAAAGTTACCTGAGATTAAATAAACAATTGTTCATTCACATATATTAAGGAAAATACGTTTCAGGTAAATACACCCCTATCAATTATTGATAATTTATAAATATTTATTTTTAGAGGAAACTTTTGGCGGATGTTTTCGAGAGATCATAACACTGCTTGACCTGGCCGGGGAGGGTGGCTCGCTTAATTAATAACGCTTTACACCCGACACTTCTACACCCGGGACTATGCTGCGACACTCAAGTGTAACACTAGGTACACTGTGTATAACACCTCACATCTATCAGGTCAGTATTAACAGTGTAGGATGATGGTAGACAGTCTCAGTGTTGACCCGTCCGTCATGCTGGTCTCAGGTTGGTAATGATAATGTTTTTGGAGGAAATAGGATGTGACTATGGGTGTTCTGTCACTGTGGGTGTTATATGACTATGGGTGTTCTGTCCCTATGGGTGTTCTATGACTGGGTGTTCTGTCCCTATGGGTGTTCTATGACTGGGTATTCTGTCACTATGGGTGTTCTATGACTATGGGTGTTCTATGACTATGGGTGTTCTGTCACTGAATGTTCTATGACTATGGGTCTTCTGTCACTATGGGTGTTCTATGATTATGGGTCTTCTGTCACTATGTGCTCGCCTGGCGCTTCTGGAATGATTTGGCCTAGGTTCGTATCCTGGCCGGGGAAGATTTACTGTTACCAATCCTTAACTGTAGCCTCTGTGCACCCAGCAGTGAATGGGTACCTGGTTCTTAAATGATTTGGGAGGTCGTATTCCTGGGAAAATTAGGATTAATGACCAGCCCGAAACCCTTTGCGTGCTTGTGGCTTTACAAGAAAGTAAGAACTCTTGTATATATAAGTAAACAAAAACTATGGGTGTGCTGTCACATTGTGTTGTATCATTATGGATGTTCTGTCACTGTGTTCTATCGCTATGGGTACCTGGATTGTACCTGGATGGGGTTCTGGGAGTTCTACCTCCCAAGCCCAGCCCGAGGCCAGGCATGACTTGTGAGAGCTTGGTCCACCAGGCTGTTGCTTGGAGCAGCCCGCAGGCCCACATATCCACCACAGCCCAGTTGGTCCGGCACTTCTTGAAGAAAACTCCAATTTTCTCATAAAGATGTAAATGTTTGTTCCAGCAATATTTCTTATATTTGCTGGGAGAATGTTGAACAACAGTAAACCTCTGATGTTTAGACAGTGTTCTCTGATTGTGCCTATGGCACCTCTGCTCTTCACTGGTTCTATTCTGCATTTCCTTCCATATTGTGCACTCCAGTATGTTGTTATTTTACTGTACAGATTTGGGACCTGGCCCTCAAGCATTTTCCATGTGTATTATTTGATACGTCTCTTGTTTCCTTTCTAGGGAGTGCATTTGGAGAGCTTTGAGATGATCCAAATAATTTATTTGCTTTATCATATCTATGTATGCCATACATGTTCTCTGTATTCCCTCAGTTTCAGCAATCTCTCCTGCTCTAAGAGGGTAAGTGAGTATCGAGCTTAAGTTTGGGAAAACATAGTGTGTGAATTGAAAGAGCAAAGTTTGTTACAAAATATGACACTAGAATGGATGCCGTAATGGCATGTCAGTACTTATTGTTGTTGATTGGTATTTTATTAATGTGACATACTGGTTGCATATGATAATTTTTTTACTAACATGACATTCTTTACCAAACTCTAATCATTGCACTTGTCATGTTTACTTTTTGTTTAACAGCCAATGTTTATTTTTTCAGATTTAGTTGATCATTAGGAGCCTGAACAATGATTTGCTTTGCTCCAAGGTGATAATGAAGAAGGATCCAAGAAAAAGAAACTGGAGTTTGGAGAGGCAAAATATATTGATATTGCCCAAGGAAAAAGTCAAAAGTGAATTAAAGAAGACAATATTGACCACAGACAAAAATTGGAGACGGAAGAAAAATAACAACTTAAAATAAAATTCACAGGTTAATGAGACAAGGTTTTTAGGGTGGAGTGGAGGGAACATTGTTTGACCTCCCATATGAAGATAGGGAAATAATGACTAAATATAAGGGTTTGTGGGTCAGATGGGAAGTGACAGGATAACCTGATCATTCAAAGTCTTCAAGTAGGTCTTTATTTAATAGATGTGAGTATTGCAATTTGTTGTAAATCTTACAATAGCTGAATGAACAAATCCACAAGGGCCGTGACGAGGGTTCGAACCTACATCCGAGAGGGCAAAGAGGTAGAACTGCTTATTGATAGAGCTCGGGTGCATGGGGGAATTGTGTAAAATCCTAATTTGTGTCTCGGAGAGGCTGCAGGATCCAAGTAAGGTCAGTAGAACTTCTAATTGCAATTCTTTTCCATGTCGTAGCTCAGTCGATTAAGGCAGCGTCTGAGATCCTCTCAGTCGTAGGTTTGAACCCTGGTCATGGCCCTTATGGATTTGTTCATTTGATGCATCACGCTATTGTGATTTCTGTTTGTAACAGTTGAATGATTTTCTGGCCCCTTTGCTAAATAATGAAATAATTTTGATTATTCAAGACTGATAACATTTATGTTTTATGTCCATTATTTATAAAAGCAGATAATGTTACAGTTCCAGACCCAACTTAAAAATGTCTCAAGATGGATGGGGACACCTTCCTCAAACCTCGTTCTTTCTGTCTCTCGTCACAGGCACTATAGGTACTGTAGTGGTCATCATGTAACTATATTTGGCCCCCCCCCTTTTTTTTTTTTATTTCATCTAGGCTTCAAAGGTTTGTTATCCAAGGATTTTTGTTTGAGGTCAGTTGACTATGTTCTCTGCTGATTTTAGTGGTCTGTCATTGAGTTAAAATATATGTTTCAGGGTTGTCTGTAAACCTTTTTCAAGTAGCAGAGTTACATTTCTGGGGAGGAGCCCCATTGGCTTCCTAAGGCTCCCTGAAGCTATAATACACTACCTTCAACAGTCTCCGTGGTGTAGTGGTAAGACACTCTCCTGGCGTTCCGCGAGCGCTATGTCATGGGTTCGTATCCTGGCCGGGGAGGATTTACTGGGCGCAATTCCTTAACTGTAGCCTCTGTTTAACGCAACAGTAAAATGTGTACTTGGATGAAAAAACGATTCTTCGCGGCAGGGGATCGTATTCCAGGGACCTGCCCGAAACGCTAAGCGTACTAGTGGCTGTACAAGAATGTAACAACTCTTGTATATATCTCAAAAAAAAAAAAAAAAAAAAAATCAGTGCCATACTATCAGGTGCCATCAGTTGCTGGGTTCTGTTGGCCTACCATGGACCATGAACCAGAATGTACGGTTCTGGTTCTGATTCATGGTCACTGGTTACCTGCAAGTACGCAGGTCACCAGTGACCTGCGTACTTGTTCGCACTTGGTGCCTGTCATGTGTTTTATAATCTCTGGAGCTGCATTCTGACTGGCTCTCGGAGAATGTGAAAGTCCTCGTTGAGGGGTTTCCTCTTGCCGGGGTTCTGGTCTTGGCAACTTTAAATTTGTCTGCCCTACTGAAGATGAATGCTCCAATCCTCAGAGAGGTAGTTTCTATGTTCGTCACCTCTCGTCTCCCATGTTGGCAGGCTGCGCTGGGCCTATCTCTGGACTCGGTGTGAGCCCTGGGGTCTTATTTCGACTTCACCAATTAGTTCTGTGTCATTTCCTTAGAACATGGTGTCCCGGTTTTTGTCTGCAGCTGGTTGTCAGCCGCTTTCGGAGTTGTTGTGTGTGTGGGGGTTGGTCTCGCCTCTCCCAGAGGTTTGGTACAGCCAGGGCTTCACTCCACTGTTCATCGAGGTAGGGCCCCTATGGTGCCAACAGCTGGATCAGACACGCTTCCCTCAACCTCGGCCTCATCGTCTGGTTGGCGTCATGTTCACTTTGCTTGAAGGGCAGGCTCTCGTGGTTCTCACCTGCCCTTGTGTGGGTCACCCCATTGATAGGGAGTTGGTGTGGGGGAGAGGGAGGCTAGCTCAGTTTGCCAGTTCTTGGTTCCACGATTTATGGGCTTTTCAAATCATGTCTTACAGCCTGCAGGTGCAATGTACGACCTGAACGTCTTGCAGACGTACAGATGACCAGACGTTGATCTCTTCGCATTGACGTGGTCTCGGCGTCTGCCCCTTTACACAGTTCCATTTCGACAAC